TTCCTAAAACATGGCACCCAGAATTGAATCCAGTCCTGCAGATGTAGTCTAATCAGGACAAATGACATCAGGACCTTTACCTCCTTATGCTTAGATACTACAATTCTCCTGCTGTAGTCATATATAATATTAATGTTCCTGGCAAATGGAATAGCAACTGGAACTGTAATGTTATTGGTAAAAGGAACTCTCAGATGAGGAAAATACTGTTAGCAACATGAATCAACATCATTTCTGAAAGATATTCTTAGAAAGTTGCCTAGCACATTTTGAGGTTAACTGACTTACCCATGGTCACATAGTCAATATGTATCAGAGGTGAGACTTGAATTCAGGTCTTCCTAACTCAGAGACTGTCACTTTACCTAATCTGCTATACTGGCTTCTTAATAATCATCCACTAAAACCCCATATTTTTAAAAGATGAATTGCTATCTAGCTATGCCTCCCCTAGCTTGCCATTAGGTCTGATTTTTTTGAACTCAGGTACATAACTTTATATTTATCTTTTTAAATTTTTTTATGTTAGATTGACTGCCTATAGCCTAACCAGTCAAAATCTTTTTAGATCTTGACTGTCATAGAATGTTAAGTGCTGCTCCTTAGTTTTATGTGCTCTGCAAATAAGATAAGCATGGCATCTACACCTTTATCCAACTCACTGATAAAATAGCATAGGAACAAGCAGAAATACCTGGGGTTTCCACTAGAGACCTCCTTCCAATTTGACTTTGAAGCAGGCATGACTGTACTGTATTGTGAGTCCAGACAGTCAACTAGTTCCAAATGTAGTTAACTGTACCTCCATCCATGCTACTTATCTCTATGTTGTCCACAAGGACAGTATGAGAAACATTGTCAAATGCTTTGCTAATACTTAGGAATCTATGTTCTGGGCGTTCCTCTAATCTATCATTCTAACAATCACATGTGGTTATGTGGTTAGTTAGTTCTTTATTATAAATTTACAGATACTCACCAAACATCTATTTAATAATGTTTTAGAATTTAGTCAGGAATCATATCAAGCTCACTCATTTCTATTTTTCAGTTGACACCCTTTCCTTTTTAATTTTTTTTTAATTGGGACATTTGCCTTTATGTAGTCCTATGAAACCTCTCTCATGTTCCATAGTTGTTCAAATACAATGACTCAGCAGTCATGTTCACCAGTTCTTTTGGTACTCTGGGTGAATTCCCTTGGACCTGTTGACTTGAAGTCATTGAGGAAAGCAAAGCCATTCTATGACTATTACTAAAGCCATTCTATTCTATTAACTTGGGTTTCAACTCCTTGGTAGGCATATATAGAGCTTTGCAAATATAAAAGTATGATAAAAACGGTAGCAATGATGATGATTATATGCCATCTTTTCTAGTGCAAAGCATCATTCTCCTTGACAGAAAACAGGCCTTCTCTTTGTTGTCCATTATAATCTGATTTACACTGATCAACAGTTCTAGATTTCCTTTGTTCCTCTTTTCTCCCATACCAAAGAGCTTTAAAACTAAGAACTTTTCATTACACTTAGCTTTCTTTGCCAATGTCAGCTCATTATTCATTTTTGTACCCTACACTTTTCTCAAAGGACTAATGGATACTTTTGAATTCATCTTGAGTTACCTGCCCTCTCTTCTGTCTTTTCAACATGCTTTTCAGAAAATCTAAGTTGAATGATGTTTCCTGTTCATGCGCATTGTTATCTTTTGACAATTCCAGTGTTTCCTTATTATTAGAATAATCTCTCTTTGAAAGGTTCCCATCTCTCCTGAGTCAACTTCCCCTAGGAAGGAGAAGGAAAAGGGTAAAGGGATTCTACCTGTTCTTTCTCTAAATCCATTGCAAGCTGTGTGTGCCAGCATATAACTTGAATTTCTTTTCTTCATCATGAATTCCAAGACAAATCTCTCCAAGTTTCTATCTTTTCTGCTTAACCTACCAGTTCCTGATTGTTGATGAAAATCCAGTTTAGAAGAGCAGTTACACTTGTTGCTTCTTCTATCTTTTGAAGAATGACTATCATTAAGGTAAATCAAGACATTAGCTTTGCTGCTTAAGGCAGAGAGACAGAACTCTATTGGATATTCAGGCAATTGAAGTCCCCCATCAACCATACCATTCCTCTGTGCCAGGATTCTTAACTTTTTAGGGTGTCATGGCCCCGTTTGGCAGTCAGGTGAAGCTTATGGATCCCTTCTCAGAATACTGATATTATTAAGTGCATAAAATAAAATATGTAGGGTCACAAAGTAAATAAATCATATGAAAATACTGATATCTCTCTACATATCTATCTGTATTTCCATAGCCATCTATTCATCTAATAATCCATCTATCCATCCATCCACCTCTCTGTCTCCCTCTCCCTCTATCTATCTATCTATCTATCTATCTATCTATCTATCTATCTATCTATCTATCTATCTATCTATCTATCTATGTTAGTTATTTAGTTCATGGATGCCAAGCTTGCAGTCTGTTTCCTCAAGTCTTGATCTAATTGCTCCTTTTGTCCAAGTCATCTGGCTCAGAGGTGTGCTGGAGCATGGTCGAACTTAGAAAGTCAGTTGTCACATTTCCATGTGACCTTAAAAATTGGCAAGCTCCACAAATCAGGGCTTGATGTATTTTGTCAATTGTCTAGGCTTCAGAAAGTGCTGGAAAAAATGTTAATAATGCAGATTAAACTCAAACGTTTATTTTGCAAACTTTTTTTTTGGTTAAACAACTTGTTGTTAAACATTTACCAGCACATCCCTGTGTATACTCCAACGATAAAATCAATTTTGTTTCTCTCTCTTAGCCTAAATACATGTCATTTTTTGGGAGGCAATCAGGATTACGTTACTTGCCCAGGCTCACACAGCTAGTAAGTGTCTGAGGCCAGACACTCCTGACTGCAGGTCAGGTTCTCCTGACTGCAGAACTGCTGCTGTATTCACTGTACCACCTAGCTGCCCCTAATATATGCTATTTTCACTCATTCCCATTCCTATATTTTCTCACGTCACACTCTTACCCGAAACAATGCATGTACAATCCATACACTATTCATACATACCCCTAACACAATATAATAAGCCACTGTTAGAATAAGGAATTATTTGAATGGCAGGGGGAATGGCTGCTTTCATTTCTACTCCAATTTTCTTGGGCCATGAGAGACATTCTGTACCATTATTCCTAATTTTTATTTGGTTTTGGACCACGCTTCAGACATATTACCATATAACATTCTTAAAGCCAAATTATCTTTAGATAACTTCATTTTTTTTTCACATGACACTTTCAAGAAAGAGCAAGTCCTAAGAGTAAGTCAAAGTTTTAGAGATTGCTATTACTCAAGAGCCAGTAATGCAAGTTTGAATTATTACATCCTGAGAAAGAAAATAGTTTAAATTTGTATCTAGTACTGAAAAGGCTCATTTGCAAATTCATGCGAATGTATTTTTTAATTATTCAAAATGAAAAAAAAAGTGTAAAAACCAGAACTATTTCTTTTCAATCCAATTTTCAAAAATCTTTTCAATCCAAAGACAAAGGCTTTCTTTTTGTTTGCAAGTATAGAAAGTTCTCACCCTTTATCTATTTTTAATTTCCTATGCCATTGGTAAATACATGTTCCTCAATGAAGTCTTGGACTTTAAGTCTCCTGAGAGGTGTTCCTTTCACTAGCAACAACCTGTGGTCAGTTCGGGTGCTGTCTTATGCCTGTCATAGCAATGCCCTACTGAGAACTGCTTCAAAGTTCCTTTTTACATCTCTATAACTAATGATCTGGTCATTAACTGTTATGGTTTTCTACTGACATGTCAAATGTTCTAATGACATGTCAAAAAACTATCAAGTGTTCAGAGAAATTGTGGCCTAGCACACATCACAGGTGTTCAACAAACATTTGATATATTAATGAATGCATGAATGGGAACTACATGAAAAAAAAGGTCACTAAACAGATTACATTTGTTGTATGCTAAATGTTATCCTATTAACTTCAATTTTAAGGGGAGGGGTACAGAACAATTATGGGAATAAAAGGGATGACTTTTGGTTATACTTGGACTTCTAAAGCATGGATACAGTCACAGGGCAGCATACTTTAAATAGAAAATATATAGTGGTCTGCAATCAAAATGTGAAGGCATTTACCAGAGTAGTAAAGAATGAAAAAGAGTGACAACAGCAATTGCTAATTCCTAGCAGAGTGATTTCATTTGCTATTGACCAGATATACTTATAGCTTTGAATAAACTGAGGAGGTAAAAAAGAATAAAGAAAAGTTAACTCATATACTTTAGAAAAAATAATTTTTATTGGAAGAATCTATCTTCCTTATCAAAAACAAAATGTTATGATTCTACTCATCAGTCTGAACACCAACCTATCTTTTCTTATTGCAGAAAAAAAAATTCTCTGGATAGGGAAAAATTTATCAGTTCAAACTTCCTTTAAGTACTTTTATAAGAGAGTTGGACCATGTAAATCACTCTCTAAAAGCCTTTCTAAATTATAAGAAGGAAAAAAGTATCATTGTTTAATTGAATGTTTAATTAATGTTTATTATAGCCAGCATATTCATTTCAAGCCAAATTTATGAGAGAGTCGAATTTTGTTTTTTATGCACTGTATGTGCTCTTTATAGAGCAGTGCGCAGTTTATAGTGCATGGCATAATCAATGTAGTATATTTATGCCCATTTTACAGGGCTTGGGATATAATTTTACTATTTAAGTGCTTATAGTGTTTTATAGTTGCTGTATCTTTGCTTTTATGACATAATATTGGTCATTTGTCACAAAATCCTTGGTCAGGAACACAACACCCAATTTCAGTTCTGTTCCTACAGATATATGTGATCTGCTTTATGACAATTTGTTTTATGCTTTAGCTTCCAGGAATGTGTTTTGGTTAGAAGGGGAGACCTACCTTTCCTATGCTTTTCTGTTTGTGAGTACATACTCATTCAAAAGCAGGGGAGAGAGGTCAGAGAGATCCTTACCCACTCTTCTTCATCATAGTCCGAGTGATGTGGGATAGAATCTTGTCTTTGGATAGGGGGCAGGGACCCTGCAGGTTTAGCCTCTTCCTCCCCAGTGTTCTTGGGAGTGGGTGATTTCTTGAGGACACAGCCTGGCCGGGCTGTGTAGAGAGCTAAGAGGGCACTTCTGACCAGCTGATCCTTAAAGGCGTGCACGAAGACCTCCGTCTGGAAGAAAAGGGACAGGGATTAAGAACACCAGGAAGATCGGTACCAAAAATATTTCAAGCAAAGATAATTATCAGAGGTAATATAAAGACAATATTAGCAAAGTGCTTAGTACAGTACTTGCTACATAGTAGATTCCAAACAAATTACCTTTTCCCTTCTCCCTCCCTTTCTGTGATTCCAAAGAACTGGAAACAAAAGGGGTACCCATCGATTGGGGAATGATGAACAAATTTTCATAAATGAATTTAATGCAATACTACTATATTGTTGTAAGAAATGATGAAGGGGATGATTTCAGAGAAACCTGGGAAGACTTGTATGAACTCACACAGGTAAAGTGAGCAAAAGAACCAGGATAGCTTGTGCAATAAAAACAACATCGTAAAGACAGACTTTAAAAGATGTAAGAAAGCCAATCAATGTGAAAACCAACCGAGATTCCAAATGATTCATGGGGAAATACACACCCCACTTCCTACAGAGAACTGATGGACCTAGTTTGCAAACTGAGACATATTTTTTGGATATGACCAGTGCATCAATTTGTTTTGCTTGACTATTCATATTTGTTACATGGGTTTTGTTTTCTTTTTTTCCAGAGGGAAAAATAGAGGGTGGGATAAAAAAAAAATTGTGTTAATTGGGAGGAAAGAGCCAGTAGGGGGCAGGATCTCTGCACCAAGCTGGGATAGGGAAGGGCATTGTAGACTTGTTTCTCTTAAGTACTATGTATGATAGTGTAAGTATAAGAGAGAAAGAAAACTAATCATACCAATCAGTGGTAAATAGTGCAGTTTGGGAATGCTGCCAAGCTCTGGAGCTATTCTGTTCTAAAAGTTAATGCAGACGTAGTATAGATACTATAAAAACCATCTGTTTCCATAGCCTTTTCTTGCCTCATGACAAATCCTATCTCTGGAGATGGTTTTCAGTGGGAATAACCATTTCAACAGTAACTACCTGATGCTTTTTTTTAATGTTGGGAGAAAATACTACTTATCCTTGATATTTTGAGCAAATTATTAAGGCAGAAGACGCACAGGTAGATTGATTGAAAGGGGTGCAGAGGTAGCAGACTATGTTTTCCTCTTGGACACAGCTCATAGCACAAATAGGAAGGAAGGTTTTGCTGTCTTCCTTATTGTTACTCTCTAAACTCTCCTGCCACAAATTTGTTATGGTGATGTTCAGTTGTTGGCAGAATCTCTATGGAACAATGTCTAGTGGGGTTTAATCATTGGTGGTAAATACCCAATAACCGCAATAGAAGTGACAGCTACCTTCTGATGAAGGATTTCATTTCATGGATTATCTAATAAATGTGCCATGTCTTTGGCGAGACAAAATGTGGGAGGTGCAGTCCTTGAATTTATATATTATATTATATTATACTTAGCAAGAGGCAATGAGGACACAGGGCCAGCCTTAGGGTCTGGAAGGTGGGGTTTCAAGTCTTGCAAATCATTACCAAGTCTGCTACATACTGGCTAAATTATCATGAGCAAGTCTCTTAACCTCCCAGCACCCTTGAGGAAAATCTCCAACACTGTATGACAGCAACAATTTGCTGACCTGGATCAGCAGTATTTCACGTATGGAAATGGAGGCTATGCAACATTAAGTGATGTGCTTAGGCTTACATAACTACTAAGTTTCAGAGGCGGGATGTGAACCCAGACTTCTCCTGATCATGAGTCCCTCACCTTTGCCACTACAATACATTGACTACCTATCACTCAGTGAGTTTAGTCCTTAGTCAATGCTAGCTTCAACTTTGTTAAAACTCAATGTGATTTCCTACTTCATTCTCTACTAATGGAGACACGATGAGAACAAAAAATTCTTGAAGGATAGGTAAGTCATAGAGAAGAAATTTTTAACCCATTTCCATGCCTTAGCTAGTCAACTATACTATAAATCTTTTCTTTTGAGGGGGGTGTGTCTGGACATGTGATTTCATCAGCCTATGTAACTCTCGGTATGAACATTCCCTCCACCACCACAGCACAGTCAATTATTTGTTTCTTCCTAGATATTATTTAGATTTCCATGATCCTTCTCGTGATTCTCCTAACCTCAGACTCCTCTTCAGGATCTTCATCCACATCATGCCCATTAATTTTGAGTATCCCCCAAGGCTCTGCTCTAGTCCTTTGTCTCTCTCTCTCTTTTTCCCCCTATATTCTCTCATTTGGTTAATTTATAAGTTTAGGTGGAGTCAATTATCATCTCTACTCAGATGACTACCACATCTATACATCCAATCCTCGTGTCTCCCCTGAGTGTCACCTCATATTGCCAACTGTCTTTTCAATATCTTGAGCTGGAAGTCCTGTAGGCTAAATACTGAACTGATCTTCTTCACCAGTCCTCCCCTTTTCCAGACCTTCCTATTACTTTCCTATTTTGAGGCTTCCAGACTTGCAGTCTCAGTGTATGTCACCCTCTCCTTCTCACTCTCATTCACCTCACATATTCAGTCAGTTGCCAAATATTATCATTTCCATCTTCCCATCCCCCTTCTTTATCTCCTACTCTTCCATTTATATAGCCACAGCCTCTCACCTTGGTGATTACAATAGCATTTTGCTTGGACTGTCTGCTTCAGCTCTCTGTCCACTCCAATACATCCTCCACTCATCTTCCCAAATCATGGGTCATCACGTCTTCCCTCTCTCCTCTCCAGTCTTACCTTCAGAATCTGGTAAGTTCTTCACAACCTCACCATTTCCTACCTTTTGAGTCTTCTTATAGTTTAACCCCCTCCACATGCTCCACAGTTAATCCATATTTCTTGTGCCTGGAATGCTCCCTGGCATTCCAACTCTTCCACTTCCAACTCTGGCTCTCTTCAAAACTCACCTCAAATCCTACCATCCACAGAAAGCTTTTCAAGACCTTTTCTTCCAGATTCCTCTAGTGCTTCAATATGATCTATTCTGTATTTATCTTGCAAATACCTAGGTTGTTTTTTTATTTTGTTTTGTTTTTTTGGCAAGGCAAGGTTAAGTGACTTGCCCAGGATCACATAGCTAGTAAGTATCCAATGTTTGAGACCAGATTTGAACTCAGGTCTTCCTGACTCCAGCATCAGTGTTCTATTTACTGTGCCACCTAGGGGTTTTCATGTTCTCTCTCCTGTTAGAATGTGAGACCTTGAGGATAGGGACAGGGTTTTACCTTATTGTGTATCCCAAATGCTAAGCACTGTACCTGATGTAGTATACAATAAACACTTAATGCTTATGGAACTGATTGCCTGGGGTGTTGCCTGATGTATTGAGATGTTAAGTGACTTGGCCTTGGTCACATAGATAATATGTGTTAATGGCAGTACCAAATCCAGAGTTTTCTGATTCTAAGTTGGTCCTTTATCTACCATGCCATTCAATCTCCAGTTACACATCATAGAACATGATATATTCTATGTAATAGATCATGAACCATGAAAAATTATAAAATTAAATGGACCTTATACTATACATTTTCCAGATGTGGAAACTGAGTTCCAGAGAACTTAAATGAAATTCCCAAGGTCACCTTCTAACTCCCACTTCAGCATTATTTACATAATAATACATCTTGGTAAATCTTATTCTTCCTGATTGTTTCTATTTATCCACTTAATTTCTTCAAGTTCTTGATTTATAGAGTGAAATAAATTAGGATGGGGCACAACCAGAGAAACCATCTAATTCTATCCCATCATTTTACCTATGGGGAAACTGAGGATTGAAGAGGTGGAATATTTTGCCTGAGGTCATATAGTGAGTTTGTGGTATAGCCATGAGTAGAACCTGAGTTTCTTGTCTCCCAGTTCTGTGAGATTTGTACTACAACATGCTACCTACTTAGCACCTAGATGAGATGAATCCCTAAGGCTCAGGCCACCATTTGAGCTACCAATGCTTTCAGCTGATTTAAAAACATTATTTGCTCACCAGCTTCAGGGTAACATGCTACTCTGAATATAAGAAAAATCATAAGGAAAGTTGTACAAGTCTAAAAAGGAAGGCAGAGAGTAGTTTAGTGGTAAGCAAATTAAGAACCAAACAAAACATAAAAGTCAAATGTCAAGCCATGAGATTTTATTAGAAAAAGGACAAAAGGATATGGGAATTAAAAAAATAAATAAAATGTGAGAAAGGGAAATGCCATGAAGATTGAGATGTAAAAGAAAGAGAAAGGACTTTCTGGGAAGCAGATAAATTGAGCCCTAAAACAAACTTCTGCTGCCATGTTGCTAATGGCAAAATACATTATACAGATAATTTTCCATACAGTATGGTTATGTACAATACTAGATTTAAATATCAAACACATGAATTCACCGTAATTCATTTTGACTAAACTACTTTGCTGCTGATGGTTTCAATAAGCTCCCTTGATTTATTTTTATAGCCACACAGCTTGCTGTCTTTGAATTGCTGCTCTGTATTGCCTTCTTCCTCATACTCACATGTTGGAGAACATTCAAGAGAGACTTCTAAGCTATTCAAAATCATTGAAGCTGCCCATATAAAGGATAGTAAGCTTAAAGCCCTGAAGGCTTGGTGACTCATTATTGGGGTGAACCTAGAACCATTCTCTCTTCTTCCTCTTCCTAAATATGGAATTGGCCAAAATATCTATAGATCATTGCTGAGAAGAAAAGGATTCTGATACTATTCTTAAAACAAACAAAAGACACTTTGCCCTTTTTTCCTCCCCTTGTTTTATTAGAAAAATTATTAGTAGCATGATAGAGTAGTTAGTGTCAGACCTGAAGTCAGAAAGACTCATGTTCAAATCCCACCTAGTTGTTATGGCCATGGTCAAGATTTCCTTGAGCCTCAGTTTCTTTGTCTTCAGAATGGAGACAATATATTTGCAGCACCAACCTCACAACATAGCTGTGAGATTCAAAAGAGACAATATAAAGTACCTTGTAAACTTTAAAGTTTCAGATAAATGTCAGTTATTATTCATTTAAAAACCAAATATCTAAGAGCATATCT